ATTTATGCAAAGTTTCAATCCATTTGGATAAACTTTCGAAAAAAAAGTGACAAAATTGATTTTGACTAGGATCGCCCCTAGTCCAAAATTGAAAATGTATTTACTCCTTGGTTCTTTGCTCAAAAAGAATTTAGGGTGTTTTATTTGTATTTGTTTTAAGCACTAGAATATTTATGCAAAGTTTCAATCCATTTGGATAAACCATCGAAGAAAAAAGTGACAAAATTGATTTTGACTAGGGTCGCCCCTAGTCCAAAACTGAAATTGTATTTCCTACTTGGTTCTTTGTTACAAAAAATTTTTTTCATCCAAAGTTTAATTTAAAATAAAAAAAAAATCACAGTCAACTTTTGTTTTAAAAAATTCGTAAGAAAGGAAAGTTTTTTGCTTTTTCTGAAGCAACGGCTGTTCTTACCTTGCCCAAAAACAATACAGCTCTTCTATAGAGCAGCACGGATCAAATGTAAAAAACTACAAGTCTCTACAATGTCTCGTTATTGAGATTTCTTGCTGATTAACTTGCTTGTTTGCTTGCTTACAGATGTGAAATTTAAGGCACAAACTTTTCATCTCTGTTCATTTTAATCTGTCTTGGTTCCATATCCTCACAAAATTCAAAAAACTGATTTTTCAATCTGAACAAAACCAATAGATTCACACGTGAAAACGGTGTGAATATAAAAAAAAGGACGGGGAATTTTTTTGAACAAAAACAAATTTTAAGAATTTAATATGTGAAAAAATATGCAGCATATGTCAACACTCAACCAGACTCCCTCTCCCCCAGCAGGATACGCTCATGTCTGGATAGCAATAAACTTTTTCGAATAAAACCTGAAATGGATTCATTCACTTATTAAGTAATACAAAGACTGGTTTTGTAGAGTTCTATCCTCTTCCCCATTTGTCACAAAACTTTTGTTTTTTGAACTGTCACCCAATCTAAACACTCTCCTCTTTAAAAGCATTGCATAATAAGTCAAAGTTTAAAGTGCATTTTTGCGTCGTGAATATAGTTTGAACAGAATCAATTAATTTTACCTTAACTGTACAATAATTCAACCATTAAATTTTACCAAAAATTACTTTTCTTTCGTTATATTGTCCATGTTGGAACATTTTATTTAAAAACTATCTCTGCATGTATGATAATTTTTTGATTTAACTTTATTAAATTGAGAAAAAAAGTTGTCAACACCATTAAAACATTTTTTAAGGGTTAGGACATATTTAATCGGGCAGCAGCTTCATCTGTCAAATCGGAGTTGTATTCAAAACCAGGAAAGAATTTTGTAAGATCTACAAAATCTTTAGAACGAACTTCACGCTCTGTAAAAAGTAAAAATAAAAATAAAAAAAAATTAATTTCACTAAAATCAACTCACTAGCTCTATTTCCGCTATGCATTGCATTCATTCCTGACTCAACTGCTTGCTCAAATAAATTTCTTTCACTTTCAGGTTTCATTGCATTTGCAATGACGGTTATACAAAGCAGAGATACTAAAATAAAGATCTTCATACCTATAAATTTGTAGTGTACTAAGTTAACTTTGAAGTTTAACTAAACGATAATTCAATAATAGCAATGTAATTTATATTTTTAAATCATTTCCTCCTCATGTACGTGATATGTTCATTTTTTATTCCATAATGATTACAAGGTGTTAAAATGATATTATATTTTTTTTTCCCTTAAAAACTTTAGACATCAAAACACCACGAAACATGACATTTTTTAAAAAATGTTTAAATTTTTAATAGATTTTAAATTTGTAATATTTTAAAATGCCTTATTTTTATTGAATTTCTAAACTACAAAACTTAAGTATTGTTTTAAAATTCTTCAAGTTTTTCAATATCAATAGCAAGGCGTGGACACTCAAAAATATGCTGGGATTATTCGGGATTATTGGGATTATTGGGATTATTTGGGATTATTGGGATTATTGGGATTATTTGGGATTATTTGGGATTATTGGGATTATTGGAAAAAAAATTATTCAAATATTTTGAATTTTTTGAGGAAATGAACTGTAAGAAATATGGTATTTGAAGCCAGAGTGACTTGTAAAGTTTAAACAATGTGAAAATATATCATTTTGAAGTGTTTGTTGAGTATTAAAATATAAATTTGATCATATATAATAATTTTCAGAGGTCGAAGCCGACTTGAGTTCGCTCCGGTTCGGCTAAAAACCGATTGATTTTTGTATGGAATTTTTTCTGATTTCACTTGTGAAGTATAACTTTTCATACAAAATTCAATCGGTTTTTAGCCGAACCGAAGCGAACTCAAGTCGGCTTCGACCTCTGATAATTTTTATAGAATTTTGACTGATTCATTTAAACAATCGGTTTTTGGAAATGGATTAGACATTTCCTCAGCGTTTTTAGTTGCAGTTACTAGTGTCCTAAGTAATGTCCATATTAAAACATCAGTCTAAGGAAAGTTTTTGGCTTTATTCCTAGTTTTTTGGGGTTTAATGAGCTACTGTACTAAGTATTTCAGACAATAACCTCACTTTGAGGAATCTTAAGGTTATTGTGGTAGATTGCTCGTCTAAAGTATGTTATAAATTATTATATAATTTTTTGTTAAAGTTTTGTATTTATTAAAATGTCCATTATTTTCCCCAACAAATTCTACAAAATGTACCATGTTTTCGATATTATATACATACTTCTATTTGCTGTATTATTTAAGTTACTGGGATATTTTCATGAATGATTTAAAAAAGTTAAAATTTCGATTTTAAGCATGTGAAAAAATATTTAAACTTTCGTTTTGTTCTTTCTCTTCCCGAGAAATATATTTTTGAACATAATTTTCTCAATTTTTTCAATTAATTTCGTTGAGTTGTTTTATTTTTTAAGATCATTTTTAAAAAAATCAATAGTGTTGTATGACTAAGTAAATTTTGGGTTTTTTAACCTTCACAGTTAAAAAAATTCAATATAGAATTTTCCTAAGTCATGTCCTTTTTCAAAATGGTGGCTGGTTTTTTTTACCTTAGATCTGAATAATAACAATGATCTAATTTATCCACTAAAATAAGTCCTGCTGATCTAGATTCAGTTCAACTCAATGATGTTACCAAATCTTATTACGTTAATACGAGTATGATATCCCGTAATCAATTACGGGCAGACTTTAGTACTTTCTGTTAAGTATAGTTTTGTTTTTGGATCTTTTAATTTTATAAAGTTAGTAGACAGACAATTATGCTTTCTCAAAATTCCGGTGCAGAAAATTTTCGGAATCGGGATCGAGATTGAAATTTTTTGGTCAGCGTTTACTGATACAACTACGATTAAAAATCTGTAAAAGTTTAAGTACGATTCATTGAGTGTAACAAAAGATATAGTCAAAAATGTAAAAATTTTAAAATAAGCTCGCCCCTTTTTTGGTGTGAAAATCCAACGTTATATAACATTAGAAATGGTATTAAGAAAATTTTAAATTATAAAGTTTTATAGTTTTTGATTATTCTATAACGCTGAAGTACTAGATCTCAAAAACTTTTTTTTTAAAAAAAGTTCCTAATATTTTCCCCATATAAACTTGTAATCAGGATTTTCAATTTCGATCTCGATGGCCCGATCCCATAATGTTGACAATAAATTGAAGATTTAACAAAGTTAGATTTGGTATTCACTGGATCTTATTATTTCTTAATGCATCGTTTTAAGTGTTTATTGCAGAGATAGAAGCCGATTTTTTCGGCTTAACTCAATTTTTGATTTTTTTTATAGAAAAATCGGTTAACTTGAAATTCTGAGCTTACTATTGCTACATTCTGACAAAAAAAAAATCATAGTAAAGCATGTAAAATTCAATTTAAATAATTGAAATGGGCGCTAAATGGCTTTTTTCTATCAAAAAAGTCGAAAAAATTGAGTTAAACAGAAAAATCCGGCTTCGATCTCTGGTTTATCGCCATAAAAGCCAAAAAGTCAAAAATTTAACCATAGCTGTCATTATCACCGAGGACGCTACTAGCTTTACTAGATTTGTCGAATCAAAAACCTAGTTTGAAGAATTTTTTTTGAGGAAATATGTATTGTTTGATTGATTTTCGGGCTAATACACGATTATTTTGATTAGAACGCATAGTAAATCAATAAAATATAAATTTAAAAGACATTTTAAATTGATTTTTGTAAATTTTTGACTAGTGCACTAGATTTAGTTGGTAAAAAAATCACTTTTTGACGTTTTAAGGCTAGTTCATTACTTTAGCTAATTTTTAAATTAATATACTGAACTCAAAATGTATCCAAAGATTTTTGGGGACATTATTCTTTTCAATACTAGTCAAAATTTTAACATTTAATAAATTTTAAATTTGAAAAATTTTAAAATTATTTTAATAATCCCAATAATCCCAATAATCCCAAACCTGGGATTATTGGGATTATTGGGATTATTTGGGATTATTGGGATTATTTGGGATTATTGGGATTATTGGGATTATTTGGGATTATTTGGGATTATTGGGATTAATCCCAGTGTCCACGCCTTGATCAATAGCTATTTTGTTTAAAAAAAATAAAAAGGAACAAAGCATTTAAAATTTTGTTTTAATTATAAAGTTAACTCATTTTTTGAGTAGTTTGTATTTCTGTCTTCTCGTTTTCAATATATTCATATAAGTCACAGTAACTAAAAATTTAAAGGATTTTGTTCAATATTCTATTCCTTTTCACACTTAATGCATTTGAATAATTTAACATGAATAGGAAGTTAAGTAACATTGTAATAAAAGATAGAGGTATTCCTAGCAGATTGAATAAGCGTTTGATAATTTACATTGTGCTAAAGAACTATTTAAGCCCATGGGTTTGATTGCCATCCATGATTTGGTGCTTGAACTTTCACAACAGTTGGTGCTTGCCATCCATGAGCTGGAGCTGCTTGCCATCCGTGACTTGGAGCTGGTGAGATAATTTTTGTGACTGTTGGTGCCTGCCATTGTGGTTTTGCTTCCCATCCATGACTTGGTGCTTGTACTTTCACGACAGCTGGTGCTTGCCATTGTGGTTTAGCTTCCCAACCGTGACTTGGTGCTGCGGCGATTATCTTTGTGACTGTTGGTGCTTGCCATCCGTGAGCGGGTTTTGCTTGCCATCCATGTGCTGGAGCAACGAGTTTGTGGTCAACTGGTTCACGTTGTACATTAGCTTGGAAACCATGATGATCATCAGCTGTATATGAAACAACACGTCTGAAACCATCTGGATCAACTAATGAGTATTGTCCTGAGATTGCACCATTTACTGCCTTTTCATGTTGACGCTTGATATCTCCAGTTTGTGTGTCATGAACTTCATAGTTAAATTCATAGTTTGCTGGTTCTTCATGAACTACCTGCTTAATGATTGCGGGCTGCTTAACGATTGTGGCAGCATGTGGATTCCATGGATTTGGTTGCCATCCAGTTTCAATGACTCCAGCATTAACAGCTGCCAATGCAACGCACAAGATTACAAACTTAAAAGCCATTGTTTTTAACTTATTTTCTTCTCTTATTGATGCTTTTCGCTTTAATTCAAGTTATCGAATGATACTGATACTGCACTCAATGAATCCTTATATACTAAAGAAATGTAAAATAATCTGCAAGGTTAATTTCCCTTATGAGTGCAAGGTTTAAAATGCATTTACTGTTCAAAACTATTTCACATACAACAAAGTTTATGATGCTTGATTAATTTAACTATGAAGCTAACTTGAGATTATTTTAATTGTGAAGAATTATTAATGAAAATTTGCCAAAACATGATAAATTACAAAAAAAAAGTTTAAAGATTATCATGATAATCTGAAGAAATTCTGAATTATTTCTATAATAATCTTAAAAATGTGTTTAAATTTAATAATTTTAAAGAAATCATCCTCTTTCGAATGTCTCGCTTCTTATCAAATTTAATCAAAATCATTAAAGAAATATCGTATTAATTGGTATTAATAATGTTTTAGAAATCAATTAATGCATTAAAAAGTTTCATAAGAAATCTGGGAATATCAAGAAAATTCTTTCATTAAAGAAGAAGAAAAATTCTAAACATTAAAGGAAACTACAAAGAAATTATAATTTAAGGATTATAACTTTAATAGAAGCGTCTTCAAGATTATTTTAAAATATGTTCGAAAAAAGGTTAAATTTTTAATAAATGGCTAACACATACTCAAACCATCAATTATTGCGGGGGGGTGTCAGGTGGGGATGGAGGCAAGTGACTGGTGTCAGGTATATTTTGTGAAGCCGTGTGAAGCCAATGATTTGAGGGGTGCTGTCAAGGTGGGTGTCAGTTGGGGGGCTTGTGAAGCCATGTGAAGTTTTGTGAAGCCATTTATAAAATTTTTGAGGGATTAAGGGGGTCCGAGTTTGAGGAGGGTTGTGAGGCCATGTGAAGTTTTGTGGTAGGATTGACCTTAAAAACATTATGGTTATTTGCGTCTTACAGTTATTTACATTATAGTAATCAAATTTTAACCCTGATAGGAGGCGCCACGGGTGCCTCCGGATAGCCTAGTATTTTAATAAGAAAACATTACTAGCATAAAACTTTACTACTAGTAAAGCATAAAAAACGGCTCTGATTTTTTTTCCGTTATTAAGCCACTACCAATTTTTGATTAATTGAACTCCATAAATAATTTCAAAGTTATTAAATGATGCAATTAGATACCAAGAGAAGTTTTCAAATAATTTTGGCTTAAAATATTGGTGATTTCAATTCTATGTGTTAAGCATTCTTGTTTGTTAACATTTTTTTAACAAGCCGCTCCCCGTTATTAAGTTTTTTTTATGATTTTGAAAACTGTTTTCATCCCATAAGCCACTAAATGTAACTTAAAAAAAAGGGTATGCTCTGAATCATTAAGATGGATCTCAATTGTTCTGTACGACCATCAAAGTAAGTTTTGATATAATTATAATTAAGGCAAAAGTTATGTAATGTTACCTGAAATGTTTAAATACTGTGTTGAAAAAATAGAATCAAAAATTTTTCTTGGAAAAAGTTGAATGATAAAAAAAAATTATTTCTTTACAAAAATATATGCTTCTTGTTTATATTTTTTATTAATTCATTATTGACATTTTTTGTTCAATTATATAAAATCACCTTAGTTTTCATTTTAGTTTTTTTTTCTTGAATATTGTAATCAACAAAAAATGTACAAAATAAATTTACCCTGTTTACTTATAATATTTGTGTAATTTATGTGCGTATTTATAATATGAATTGATGTGTATGAACATTGCGGTGCAGAATGATTCAAAGAGCAGGCAGAGTGAACAAAGAATTAAGCGTTTGTCGATTTAAAATAGTTTTAAGTTTAACCCCATGGATTAGCAGCGTGTGGATTTGGTTGCCATCCATGTGAAGGTGCTTGAACTTTCAAGACTGTTGGTGCTTGCCATCCGTGACTTGGAGCTGCTTGCCATCCATGAGCTGGTGCTGGAGATAAAACTTTTGTAATTGTTGCAGGTTGGATGACTTTAGTGACTGCTGGTTGAATAACTTTAGTAACAACTTGTTGTGGATGTACAAGAAGCTTTTGATCAACTGGCTCACGTTGTACATTAGCTTGGAAACCATGATGATCATCAGCTGTGTATGATACAACACGTCTGAAACCATCTGGATCAACTAATGAGTACTGTCCAGAAATGTGACCATTCTCGGCCTTTTCGTGTTGACGCTTGATATCTCCAGTGTTTGTGTCATGGACTTCATAGTTGAATTCATAATTTGCTGGTGATTCTGCTTCTACAACTTTCTTAATAATTGCAGGTTGCTTAACAATTGTTGTTGCAGGTTGGATAATTGTAGCCGTATGAGGGTTCCATGGATTTGGTTGCCAACCAGTTTCAATTACTCCAGCACTAACAGCAGCCAAAGTAGCGCACAGGATCACGAATTTAAATGCCATTTTTTCTTTGTTTTATCTTAAAAGAATTCTTTCTTGTCGATGCTTTTCGTTTTAATTCAACTTGACGAATGATGCTGATACACTTGAAAGTGACTCTTTATATACTGAAACTACTGCATAGTCAAGCATTGTGCATGAAGTACGATGTCAATTATTTTCACACTATGCATTGCACCATTTTCTTCTTTCCTTTCCTTATGCTTTTTTTTCTCGATGATAATATTAATCATTATAGAACACATTGAACGTATAAGCACATGCAATCATCATTGCCTTTATTCCTTCTGCAGTTTTCATTCATTCATTCAACAACTAATTTGAACCGCATTTTTATATCATTGATATCGCTAATTAATTTAAAATTCTTTTAATTAAATCTTACATGAGGATCCAAAAAAATACATAATATGATCATCAAAGATGTTTCAAACTAGGTCTGGCCTAGTGACTGGAAAGTCCAGTCTTCAAACAAAGTAAACCAAACTCCAATTTTTTAAGATATGAGCTCCAATTGTCAGAAAATTTTCTTTGTGTATGGATTTTTGACGCAAGGAAGAGAAACTCTATCCGAAAACGATGAAGGAACCCGGTATCATTTATGAAATTTATGAAAATCAATTCAACGTCTTTATTTTTTAGTGAACTGCATTTTAGTTAAAAAGATTGCAAATTTGACATAAGTTAAGATTGAAGGGTTTGGACAATGAATTTCATTTTTCACTTTTATCTCAGTGAAGGTGCAATTATTTATAAAATATATATAATTTATCGTATAATATTACATTCCAGTTTTATATGCTGACAAGCAATAAATAATTTAATTGCTAAATTGGATCAGCATACAATTTAAGTTTTATATTTTCAACTACCCTTTTTGAATTCATCTCCCCTCTTCCCATACCAAATAAATTTTTTTAATTAAAAAAATTTCACAAGAATCCACAAAACCACATTTCCAAGAATTTTTAAGGACAAGCTTTACTACCTTTTCTTCTTTCTCTTTATTTTATCTTTCATTGCTTTTTGTGCCAATTTTTTTTTCTTTCTCTATCTCCAAATGGCCTTAAACTGTATTAATTGTCTTGAAGCCTTTTCGGAACCTGTTCACTGGTCAGATATAGATATGAACGCCCGCGATGTGAGTATGTATATTTACACATTGCGATCGATCCCATTTATCATGTTTTCTTCTTTTCCATCTCCCTCTTTTTAACTTGTCCAAGACAACACCATATGACATGAATTTTAAAATTTGCAGTTCAAGATCAATAATATTGCACAATAGTGCAAGTTGGTGCAGGTAAAAAGGAATAAAATTTTAATTAACATTAATGGCTGATATTGTTCATTTATGGACAAAAATCATTATATTTTTAGACGATACAGTTTCATAGTTGAGCATGTAGCAAATGTAGGTTCTTCAAACATCGCACTCAAGCCTCTACCGACCTGGAGTATATGGAAATTGGCTCTTTTTTAAAACTTGTATTTTGGATCAATAAATCCGAACATACAAAGAGCATGCTCAGAAAAGTGAGCATATAAGTGAGTCTACTCAAAAATTATACTCATGCAAGCTCATTCAACTGAGCATGCTCAGGAGTTCATTACATATGTACTCACTTTATTTTTTTGTAAAAAATTTATAAGCTCACGTGAGTACAACGAGTGTACTCATGAGAATATTAAGAACATACTCATGGGTATTTACTTTTATGAACACACTTCTTAAACATACTCATGAGCATATAATTATATCTATATGACATTTTCAAAAACGTCGACCAACTTAAAATCGAACATCGAATATATTTTTTTATTAGTCGACATTTTCAAAAATGTCGATTTACATAAAAATGTGTTCTAAGTTTAATTTTAAGTAGGTCGACATTTTTCATAATATGTTCTCACGATCGTGCTCTGATCAACTCAAATATTTCATAAAAATATAGTTCAATTAAGCAGCGTATCAAACTTCTAAGTTCTTTGCCTATAATAATATAATAATTTAAGTATGTGTTTTGCCATATAAAAATTATTATATATTTACAGAAAATTGCTCCAAGGAAAAGTGTGAGGTGACAGAAGTTAAGCAACGCAATAGGTTTTTCTACAAGGATGGGTGACCGGTTTTTAAAACTTCTTCTCAGATGAGCATGTACTCATAAATAAACTCACTGAGCATATATCTTTTGAGTATCTTCATGAGTATAAGCTCTTTGAGTATGTTTATGAGTATATGCTCTTTGAGAATGTTCATAAGTATATTCAATAAAAAATGTTGCATTAAAAAAATGTTTCGTGTGGTATGTTGTCTTCTCATTTGAGTATGCTTATGAGTTTACTAAGTGAGCTTAATGCATGTCACAAAGGAATGTGCTCTATGAGCATACTCAAAAAGGTACCGTGATCGCATCACTTAAATGTATGAAATGAGCGCATTCTCACAAAAGTTTGCAAGCTTACAAATAATGTGCTCTGAGTATACTCATTGTATGTTCGGTAAAATTGGTTCAACCCAAATAATGTGTAAAGTTTAAAGTTATGAGTATCTATAACCTAACATCAAGGCTCCCGTAGATTATGATCTTGGTTTTTAAAAGATAAAAGTCTGCAAGAGCCTTGCCTTACATATTATCACTGTTTTTTTAAAAATAGAAAAAATAAAAAAGTTTTGTTTCAATTTATGGATTAATAAAATCTATGATTTATTAAATTTGAGTTTATGGCATATACAATATTCACTATTTAAACAGCAACTATTTCCTCAAAATAACAATTTACAAGATTTTATAAAATTAATTTAATAATGATATTGATGTCCATGATTAGCAAATACTGGTGCTGGTTGATAAACTTTTGAAATTGTAGCTGGTTGGTAGACTTTGGTGACAACTGGTTGTGCTTGAGCAATGATTTTGTGGTCAACTGGTTCACGTTGTACATTAGCTTGGAATCCATGATGATCATCAGCTGTGTATGAAACAACACGTCTGTATCCATCAGCATCAATTAATGAGTATTGTCCTGAGATAGCACCATCCTTGGCTACTTCTTGTTGACGCTTGATATCTCCTGTGTGTTGGTCATGAACTTCATAGTTAAATTCGTAATTGGCTGGTTCTTCATGAACTGCTTGTTTAACATAAGCAGCTTGCTTAATGACAGCTGGCTGAACATAAGTTGTTGGTTCATAAGCAGCTGGTTGATGATAATAGTTAGAATTGTATCCAAGATCTACAACTCCGGCTGAGACGACTGATAAAATTGTGAATGATAAGACTAATTTGAATGCCATAATGATTTTTTTTGTTTGACTTGCTGTTACGATTTACAAAACTTGAATGATATAAAAGTTTGTTATTAAAACGCCTTATATACTTAAACTCGTAAATTTCTTTCTCTTGATTTGAACCTTTCTCTACGTCATTTTCTGTTGTAGCTCTTTATGTCTCCATCGTACAATATTTCGCATCGACAAAATAAGAAGAAATCAAAAACCTTCAGTTTAAATTTGATTGCGTATTTAGTTTTTTTATACATCAGACATCCACGACATGATATTTAGAGCAGGTTCCTTTTTTTGACTATTGATAGTTTTTAATTTATGATGGTTATGATAAGAAATTTTAATGAATAGGCACTTGCATTTAGATTTGATAATAATAATAATAATAATATAAAAAAATTAACTTTTTAAGCATACATCCAAAAAGGTAAATTTGCTGTTTTGTAGCAACTATTTAATATGATATTATTCGTTACTCAGGTTTTCTCGGTTTTCTTATTCTCAAAAAAGCAACAACTTAATGGAAAGTGTTAAATCAATAATGAAAGAACCCTTGAAAGTAAAATTGAGGAACATGCTTCGATGCAGCAGAATTGTCGAAAGAGTATAAAAGATAATGATGCATTCGTTAAACAGTCAGTAAAAAGTTTAAACTTGACTTAACTAGATCAACTCTCAGAGAAAATAAAATAATTGAATCTGTAAAAATGGCTTTTAAAATTGTCCTTTTATTCGGTTTAATTGCTGCAGCTTCTGCTGGAATTTTGACTCCAGTTGTACAGCACGAAGAACCAGCAAATTATAATTTCAACTATGAAGTTCATGACACACAAACTGGAGATATCAAGAGACAACATGAAGTAGCCAAGGATGGTGCTATCTCAGGAGAATACTCATTATTTGATGCTGATGGTTTTAGACGTGTTGTAAGTTAATTAAATTATTTGAAAATAGCTTTTTTGTCAGTAAAAAGATATTTTAATTTTTTTAAAAGGTAACATACACAGCTGATGATCATCATGGTTTCCAAGCCAATGTACAACGTGAACCAATAGGACATAAAGTAGTCGCAGCTCCAGTCGTTACAAAAGTTATCCAACCAGCTGTAACAAAAGTTGTAACACCAGTATTTTCACATGGATGGCAACCAAACCCACATGCTTCAAATCCTTGGAGCTAAATGATCACACAAAACATATTTGTATATACCGTAACTTCATAAAAAAGGCTTACTTTAAAAATTCATAAAAATGTGTTTCTTTTGGTATTTAACTTTCAATTACAATTTATAATTATTTCAATTATTTCAAATAGGTATTTAATTCAGTAAGCAAATTCAAGTTTATGCTGATTTGCTTAAAAATCATCAAATAGCTTGAATGAAACATCACAAATTCGTGTGAAGTCAGTAAGTTGGTAGAATTTTGTGTTAGGTGCAAAGTTGTTCTCAAGTTCCACAAATATAATGTTTAATGCAGCCGTGTTATTCAAATAACGCCAATATTTTTTTAGTCCAATTGTATATCCCCGATGTAAATTCAGGATATGGTAGTAGAAATCAAAGGAGCGGTAATAGTTGAAAAATTTGAGGACGTGTTTCCGATAATATTCCATTCGTTTGAGATTGTAGTCATAAAAGTTGCGATGTTGGTCAAATTGAACCTGATAATCTATGATATTGAAAGAAACATAGATTATCACACATATATTATTATAATAAATTGACGTGTGAGGGAAGTACAAATGGATAACATCGAATGGACATCTGAAACTTTGCCAGTTTTCCGAGAGAAACCGAGATGAAGTTAGAATTTTTCTAGACCTCATAGTTTCTGAGATCTGGAGATGCCCAAACTCGTCTAATATCCATTTGTACTGCCCGGGTGGACACAGCCAGTTAAAGTCCATTATTGGACAATCATTTAACAGTCTTTTAACTTGCCGAAATTTATACGACATAGAGAACTAGACTTTAACTGGACATTCATGCTAATCAATCAAGTGCTCGAAACTCAAAAATAATTTTCCTTACTTTTTTGACCATATACTTTACAAGCGCTTGCAGAAATCACTTATATAAGGTCTACTAAAATTTGTATGAAACTTTTATGTAAATATAAATGTTTCACGCGCAAGTGTTCGAGACTCAATTTTTACTAGAGATTTTTCATAAGTGGTAGTGTACTTTAATTAATTAATTACGCTAATACTATTATAAAATTTTACAAGCTTTTAACTAGTACTTTGTCCACTCGAGCTGCTGACAGGACTTTTCAAAAATCATTCAAATTTTATAAATTATATATTAAAACATATCTACTTTTTCCGAGAGAAATGGAGAGCAAAAAATTTTTGCAATCAGACTTTTAGATTTTGAGATATGACACTTCCAATTTTTTTAGACGAATTTCAATTGGATCTTACATATCAACTTTCCGAGTATAATTTTAATAATGCAAATTATACATTAAATAACATATACTTTTTCCGAGAGAAAACGAGATGCAAAAATTATTTTAATTTGATCATTCTCTCTTGAGATATGGGCTTTTAAACATTTCGACGAGTTTAGATGTTAAAACCACAAATGGTGAAAAAAGTCGTTTTTTTGCGTAACGTAATAAGTGAACGGTCCAAAACTTTATCAGTTTATTGTTTTACATAAGTAATATGTAAAATTAAATTTATTCAACTTTAAAACAATCCCAATCTCAATAATCTTGAAGTTTTAAATTTTAACTTACCTGAAATTCGTTTTTAATTTTTATTGAGATTTCAAAGGAACATTCACAACCTCTTTTTGTACACTAACCCTAATAACAAAAAGAAAGTCGCAAAAATTGAGCTTGATCAGAGCATGATGTTTTAGTTCACTCTCATAAAAACTTAGGCTTCCTCTAATAAATTTCTTTGTAATCTCCGTAATCTCAATCAAGTTCTAAATCTCAAAATCTCCATGTGTTGTGCAACATGCCCAAATCTAGGTTATTTAACTTACTCTTATCTACTCTTATAAGATTCATACTGAGCATGATTAAGATCTAAATCTTAAATACCTGATATATGTAACATAAAGGCTTCAAGCGTTTATGAGCATGATTATTGATCTAGATCTTGCTTATATTTAGATCTAGAAAATACGACTTGCTTTTGTGAGTCTTATTAAGCAAACTTCAATCTAAGAATATTAATCATAAGCATTATTCTTGAACTAGATCTAAAATAGGTAGAAAACCGATTAAAACTGTTAAGTATAAAGTATTGCATGTTTTTGAAAATGTATTGAAATTTTCAGTAAAACAACATGAAAATTTTTGGGAAATTTTCAAGCAACATGTTCACTTTTGGTAAAAAAACGCATTTCATGTTTGTAAAGTTTCATTGTTTTTAGAATTTATCATTAAATTTTCACGATTTTTTCTAATCTTCCTTTTTTTTCATGTATTTTGATGTATAATATGTTTGATTCCTTTATGTATCAAAAAGTTGACCATTTGTGTCCAAAATCTAAACTCGTCGAAATGTTTAAAAGCCCATATCTCAAGAGAGAATGATCAAATTAAAATAATTTTTGCATCTCGTTTTCTCTCGGAAAAAGTAGATGTTATTTAATGTATAATTTGCATTATTAAAATTTTACTCGGAAAGTTGATATGTAAGATCCAATTGAAATTCGTCTAAAAAAATTGGAAGTGCCATATCTCAAAATCTAAAAGTCTGATTGCTCTCCATTTCTCTCGGAAAAAGTAGATATTTTTTAATATATAATTTATAAAATTTGGATGATTTTTGAAAAAGTCCTGTTTGCAGTACAAATGGATATTAGACGAGTTTGGGCTTCTCCAGATCTCAGAAACTATGAGATCTCGAAAAATTCTAACTTCATCTCGGTTTCTCTCGGAAAACTGGCAAAGATGTCCATTCGATATTATCCATTTGTACTTCTCACACTAAATTGACCCCCCACCTTTCCCCCCACTAAAGTTCATTTCAGCAAAAATACATTTAATTAAAGGTAAAATAATAATAAGGCTTGAAGCAACATACCGTCAATAGTGACCTTCGGAACATTAAGAAAGACATCAAATAATGATGGCACATATCCGTATTTTTGGAGGAAAAATACAACCAGCAATAGAAGATGCTTTGGATCAATTGTGCAAACAGATTTCTCAATAATCCAGTGCCGGATAAAATGATAGAAAGTTATGGCTTCTGGCTGAATAGAGAAAATATGTTTTAAAAGTTTATACTGCTCAATTTTCAAACCATTTCCAATGCTCAGTAAAAATATTTGATTGGTTAAATAACATTCGCATTCAATCGATGATTCGTCGGAAATTCTCAACACTCTCCAATGATCACTTAAGTCCAAAATGTCTCGTATGACTCCAATGATTGCATAATCTCTTTCAGGATCCGATTTTTTGTAATAATTGTCACCTAATTAAATTGTTGCGTGCATTTAACAATCAATAAATTAACAAATGTACTTCATTTACCTATAACGACGTGTAAATCAATGACATCATCCCTTTTTGCAACACCAACATCCAGTAATCCAGTAACATAAGCTTTGCACATTTTTTTCATTTTTTGCATGATCAAAAGTTCAATGCTTAATATTGCCAATTCAAAGTTCTTCAACTTACTATGGCTTTTTGACTGGTTTGTTAACTCATAAACATATTGATTTACTTCCTGAACAAACATATCAAACTCTTCACGATGCATTTTCATTAAATTTTAATTGATTCAATAAATTTTCAAAATAATGTCTTATTTAAAGTAAATTGGTGAGTTCAGAACATTTAAATAGAAAGACTTAACTTAATAGATTAAACTTAACTCAAATTTTATTTGTTTTCATCTAGAGATCTAATTAGAGGTACCTACTTATATTGTGTTTTTATAACCGCTATTTTTAAATTAAAAATCAAATCAAATCGTAGTAATAACTTCCGTGCGAATATTATTATTTTTAAAAAATAATCATTCTTATCTATACATGTAGAAATATTAATTTTAAAAGCATCTTTCAAAGTTTAAAATACCTAATTCAGAAACAAAAAAAGGTTAATTCAATGAAAAACATTTAAAAGCATCATTATCATATCCTTGAGATACACATGGAAGTTAAAAAAGCATGGCGAAGCAGTTTTCGAGAATAAAGATTAGGCAAAGTCACAAGTTGATTAATTTAAATTTTCATAAGATTGCAAAGTGTTATTTGCATAAAATGGCATCGAGTGTGATTAATGAGGAGGAACTACGTGCTTTTTTGATGACATCCGATGAAGAAATCGACCAAATAACAAGTATTTCTAATTTTGAAAAGTATGAAGATCCAACGAACTTTGAAGTTTGTAATGAATTAGTTCAATTAATTAAATATGAACTGAATAAGGTATGGTTGCACATGATTTAACACAAAAATGATTGACTACCACCTCATTTTAAACAGGAATGCGATTCGTATGTAATTGGTCCACGAAAAATGGGTCTCAGTGAAGGAAAAGCCGAAATTGCTATTTTCTTGGATATCGGTAACTGATTTCTATTACATATGCATGTATTTTTTTATCAGCCTTTATACCCAAATTTATGTTAAAAATAGGTCAAGATGGATTTTTTTCTGATAGAAACTATAAAAAAAACATCCAGGAAATCAAAATATTGGAAGGACTGTTACGAAAGCAATCCAAATGGAGAATTTTGCGTTTAAATCATGCATTGCCATCGCTTAATGTCATTTATCGTCCAACCAATCAACGATGTGATTTAAGCGTTACTAATGGATTTAGTGTCCAAATATCTGAAATGATTGGACATTTTTTCAGGATTCAACCGGAAGCTGTTAAATTTTATCATTTCATTCGTATCTGGCTACGAATCAACGGTATCAACTTTAAAGCATTTACTTTGACTTTGCTAGTCATGAACTATTTGCAGGAAGCCAATCTTATGCCAACTGCTTTTAATGCTCAAAAGAACATCAATCAAAACTTTATCGAAGGTAAGTTTTAATATTTTAGTTTAAAAATGTCTTAAAATTGAAAAAAATGAAATTTATCTTCAAGGCATTCCCGTAATTTTTGATCCCGATCGCGACATATGTAGTTATAGCGTAAAAAAGATGCCTTATTATTACGTCCACATTCGTGGTTTCTTTCGTTACTACGCAAGTTTCAATTTCGCTGAAAACGTCATCAGCACTTACTATGGATATCCAGTACAAAAAGAAGAGTACCAACCAAGACTTGATTATGATTCACCAATGTGCGTTGCAGCTTTCTTGAACCAAAAGTGCAACATCTCGCGATACGTAAAAGAGGAACAAGTGGAGAATTTCACGGCAGTATGTCATGCGTCATACAAGTTTTTGATTAGAAATAACTACTGATCTGAACAAGCCTCAATATCGGAGAGGTAGGAAAAAAAGCGAGCAAAACAAATGAATTAAGAGAAGAAGATCTCTGAGAAAATTATAAATTTGTATTCATGTGAATATTTTTTTTTGTAAGTTATTAAAACGCCAATGGCTCAACTTGCTTTTCTATTTTGCTCAATAAACACATGGAATCACTCACATTTGTGTATATATATATTCTTTTTTCATTATCGAAAGACGCTCAATCTCTCGATCAAATCAACAAGTAGTATTAAAAGCAGATGCGTTCGGGAGTATTGTTTCAGTCAAATTGAGTCATTCAGTGTTGAAAGTTGTTCAAGTGCTCTTAAGTTTTTTAAAAAAAATCCTCAGTGTTTATACACATAACATCAAAACATTCTCAGAATTCCGAGATTCCCCATTCTTATCAGTGGTCCATACTTGAATTTGTAAATATAAATAATAATTTGAGCAAAACATATTTAGACATGGACGAGACAATGTGGAAGAAATTAATGCAACTGAATTCTCCGGATGTTTTGAATCAGCTATGCTTATATTATGGAAATTTTTTACCTATGGAAGTTCGTTTTCATCTCGCAGAATGGATCGAAAATACTATAGTGTAAGACTTGCTTATCATATACATTTTTTTTTTTTGGTAAAGTTGTGTGCCTTGGTCAGATACTGTTATAATGATTGTCTGTGCATTTCACCGGTTTTATCCATATGTGTGTGAATCTCATCCACATAACATTTGTAATACTGTGATAACTAAAAAGTATGTCCATAAAGTTGAATAAATAAGTTTTTGTTTTTCAGGAAGTTGTTGTGCATCGACCCAGAAAATCCCGAGTATGATTTTATGACAAAGAAATTTAAGAGTGACTTGATAGAACAGATGAATCATCGATCAGAACAAATGCTTACAGAAAATATGATTCCAACAAAGGCTCGTCTTGATGAAGCAGTAAAGCGATTTCAATACATGAATCCGACAGACTTATTTTCTCAAATTGCAGAGATCATCAGGAGAGAGTGTCAACTTTTGTATGACTATCAAAACGGAAATTATGCAAATTATGTCAGCATATCAAGAGATATCGATCAAAAAATTGAGAATTTAAAAGACTTGATCAGCTCTTTTCTCTCCAATGACGTCACAAAATGGACTAAAAACTTTTATGTTTATCAAGAGGAATATTACATGATCAATGGTAACAATTCACCTTTAAATAACATTAATGGTGATTCTCCGTCACATCCAATAGAAATTAATTTACATACATCCTCACTGACATATATGCTGGATGTGTTAAAGAATATACAATTTCATATCACCGAAAAATTGACATCAATTACGAGGGAGTGTCAAGAGATTTTAAATAGCGTTGTGGATGACTTTATACTACAGTGGAAGAGTAATCAGTTAATTTATGGCAATAATGACTTCAGTATCAATGGAGCTAATACTGATAAAATGAATGTTTGGTGTTCAGAATTGGGAAAAATCTTTACAAATTTATATGAAACTATTAAGTCGTTGCAAGATAATCACAAACAATTGCCAAATGGAACTGATAATTTTGCAAACATTTTAACAAGTCAAGGTCATATTTCGTTAAATCTACTCCTTAAATTGATAAGAGAATCACTGATTGTTGAACATCAACCGCCACAAGTGATCAAGACAAATACGAGGTGATTATCACATTATTTTTGCGTTTTTATTGATGTAGGACATGTTTACATTTCCAAAAGGAACTGCCTTTTATTCATTGTCTTGCATGCATGATAAGTTTCTATTTCTTAGAATTACTGTCAATATTTTGCGTAATTCAATTAATTGATTATTATTGTTGTTTATTATAGATTTACAGCATCGATTCGTCTGCTGATTGGGGATGCATTGAATAACAAAATTGTGAATGGGATAGCACGCGGAACAATCGTGTCAGAAGCACAAGCTAAAAACATTAATACGACCAATGTTGAGCTATCATGTGGAGAAATTGCAAGTAATCAAGTGAATTTAGAAGTTAAAGGAAGTTCTTTAACCGGACAGTTCCGAAGTATGCTTCTTAAAAATTTTAAGAGAGTCGGCAAAAAGTCATGTGAAATGGTGACTGATGAGAAATTTGCGATTGTCTTTACAATATCGATGGATATTTATGGAAGGCCATTGAAGGAGAAGATTCTGAGCCTTCCAATTGTTGTAACTGTCCATGGTTCACAAGAAACTAATGCTTGGGCAACGATTTTATGGGATAATGCTTTTGCACGTACCAGTCGACAATATTTTGCCGTGTCTGATACAATTTCATGGAAGGAATTTGGACAAGCATTAAGCTATAAATTCCATTCAGTGACAGGTCGTGGATTGACAGATGAAAATTTGCATTTCTTAGCAGAAAAGTTTTTCGATCAACCTGTCCCTTGTCCCGTCCCAGATACACATTTAGTCACATGGAGCTCATTTTGTAAAGAAAAACTTCCATTTCGAGAATTTACATTTTGGGAATGGTTTTATGCTTGCTTGAGATTAACAAAAGATAACTTGAAGAATGCTTGGTACGAAGAGCGAATTATAGGATTCATAGACAAGAAAAAAACAGAGGATCAATTACATGGCTCACCGCATGGGACATTCATTTTACGTTTCTCAGATAGTGAATTAGGTGCTTTATCTATTGCATGGCTTAATTCACAAGGATTAAATGCTGCAGAAATACTTCATATCAGACCTATTAATTCAAAAGAGTTCGATGCAATCAATATAAATCAACGGATACATGATGTTGACGAGCTGACTTATTTATATCCAAACATTCCGAAGGATGATGCATTTAGGATTGATAGGAATCCACATTCTCCTGGAGATTATGTTGCATTCAGAACAGTAATGAGGGTTGACATAAAAAGGAGATAAATAGCATTTAACTAAAGTATTTTTTGTAACTGCCATAAAATTTTTAAATTTTTATTCTGCATTTATTTTGATTTTTAAAAGTTTATTTCAAGTTTATTTATTTTTAAGTTTTTCAATCGAATAAAGAATAATGAGGGAAAAAGAAAGTGTAGCAGTAATTTTAAATGACTTTGAGACAAATCCAAAGTGCCCAAAGCATGGACCGACTGTTTTATTTGTTTCAAAAGGCAAAAAATATTATTCGTGTTCTGGTGATCGTTCAAAAAACTGTTTTTACATCGAATATGATCAATTTGAAAGGATTAAGGATAAACAAATAGAAACAGGAATTGATATGAGAACCAGCAAACATGAAGGATGCACACAGGAATATGATTTGAGAAAAGATCCAGTAGATCAGAGAGTTTTCTGTATTACATGTGACGAATTCATAGCTAATTCACAAACATATCATAATAAGCATAACACTAAGAAAGTAAGTGATGAAAATCTACAAAATCCATCCTTGTTTCTTCCACAACTCAATAATGATAAAGTTAATGCTCAATATTTCTTCGATAACTCGACATTGAATTTTATTGACACTGTATTTGAAAGCTTACAACTGGATAACATTATTTGTATGGGAGCACCGCGTCTACATGATTTTATAAGAAACAGAAGCAATAAAAAGTCATTACTAATGGATATTGACAAAAGATTTCAACCGTTTTATCCTGAAGAATTCTGTCATTTTAACATGTTCAATAACTTTTTCTTCAACGGAAAGAATGACCAAGATAAACTGGAACTGTTTCTCAAAAGTAGAAATAAAGATGAGAAATCCCATCATTGCCTATTTACAGATCCACCATTTGCAGCACGTACTGAATTGCTGACTAATACTATTAGAACAATATCTTCTCTCTATTTTAGAATGAATCATAAGCTCCTTCCAATCTTTTGGATTTTCCCGTACTTTAATGAGTGTCACATTCAAAAATACATGCCAGAGATGGAAATGCTAGATTATCAAGTCACTTATATGAATCATCATGCATTTAACAATGAGTATAAGGGACGAAAAGAAGGATCTGTTGTTAGATTATTCACAAATATTCCTCAAAATTTGATCAAATATCCATCATCATTGACTGACTATCGATTTTGTAAGCCATGTAATAGATTTGTGTCAAAATCTAATATTCACTGTAATATCTGTAAAATATGTCCATCCAAAAATGGATCCACTTATAATCACTGTAAATCATGTAGAAAATGCATCAAGCAAAACTATAAGCATTGCAAAACATGCGATAGATGTACAATCACAAATCACGATTGTAAAGTTTATCAAATGCATCAGGAATGCAAAAAATGTCATGAAATAGGACACGTTGAGAAATATTGCAAATCAATTAAAAAATGTAATGTAATAAAAAGGATTAATTGATATTCTTCCGCTAAGACTTAAAAATCTGTGGAATGTTTGATTACTGGTTAATTAACGGAAGAAATTTAAAATTTTAGTATAGAGGAATGTAAACTCGAGTTGTTTGTCCCCTTTTGTTTACAATTTTTGGATAAAGATTGATTATTTGAATTAAAATGCCAAGCTTTGTACAGACAATACAATATTATTCAAAGAGAAAACTGTTCAGGTTCGGAGTTCCATTTGTGTTGTTGGTTGTTGGTGGATCATTTGGATTAAAGGAATTTACACAATTGAGGTAATAGACAATGAAATTTAATAGCCGGAAAATTCACAAAAACTGTTTAATTCCTTAGATACCAATTTAGCAGAAAGATAACAGTTAAGCCAGATGAGTTAGACAAAATAGGAATCAAAATGAAGAATCCAGAGGATGTGACACTCGAGTCTGAATATGAGAAGGTTAAAAACTTAGACATCGACAATTGGGAAAATAAAAGAGGACCAAGACCGTGGGAAGAAGTTCAGAAAAAGTAGTAAAAAGTCTAATAGCATACAATGTATTAATTTGTGTACATAATAAGACATAGCGATTCAAAAATATAGTTTTAATGAATTCCAATAATGATGTTTCATTGACAAAGCAAGAAGTTCTTGAGTGTAGCAAATTGTAGCTTGAGACTTCTATTAGAAATTAGAATTCATAAAATTCTCAAGTTATTGCTGCTGTAAAACACGATGACTGCAATAATAGAACTTTATGAAAAACTTAAGCCGTACTTGTCAGACAACTGCATTATCGACATCCTTATTCAAATTTATTGAACTTTTAAGCAACTAGTTTTAATGTTAAACATATTATTAGCAATGAGTTGTTCTATTTCCATATCTGCACCATTCTCTAATAACATTCATAAATGCATCTCCTGGTCCTGGTCCATCAAAATCTTTTCGACCAAAAATCTTGTAATTTCCAGTCAATTTTCCTAAAGCCATTGCATCATCTAAGACGCTTAAAATTGCATTTATTATTTTTTGATTAGGTGGAATGCTTGAAAATTCACCGATTACTCCTAAACCAATAGTTTTATCATTAAATCCTTTTGCATGGGTCCCTAAGTAATCCCATCCAACTCCTTCGAACGCAAACCCTATTTTCATTATTTTGATTTTTAAAAAATATACCTATTTATAAAGGCAGAAAAACGTACCATCCCCTTCAAAAAATATGTTGTAGACAATATCGTCCAAAGGAGGATTACGAGAATAGGCGTCAGACTGAAGTGATCTTGCTCTAGACTTGCATGCATTCTTTAAGAGATTATTTTGAAGAAATGTTCAAAAATTAGACATTAAAATAATTACCAAATCATTGCAAAGAGGTGTAACAGTATGTCCAATTAAAACACAATCTATAATTCTACTAAAGTCATCTGGGGGATATTTTCGTCTTTGGGCGACCCATTCTTCTCTCCGGTAAATTTTGTATACTGAAATAAACGTTAATTTTGAGGATATTATGGACATAGTTTTTAAATAACTTACAGGGTCGAAAATTTGCTAATGATTTAATGGCTTCATTCATGGCATCCGCTTTAGGTTGAATATACGTCAAGTCATCTTGCAGCACTATTATGTGATTTTCTGATATCAGCTCATGCTTTACAAAAGTTGAGATAAAATCCTTTAATAAATTAATTAGATCTAAATTAGGTGCTACTGATGTATAATCGCCAATAAAGACTATGCAAATTCCAATGCTATTATATTCTGTGGCTTCGAAATTATGTGTATGTTGTCCTTGATACTTAAATCCTCGTCCTTCATAAATTCGCTCGTCACCACCAATTAGAAAATTGTAAGCAATGTCGTCGAGGCTTGAATCTTGAGTTTGAATCGATTTTACAGATGATATACAGTCAAGCTCATTGATACACGATGTTCCCCGGGTATGACCAATAATGATTCTTTCAATCGGAGATTCTAGCTTTAAAATATTTAATGATTTTGGCTGATCAGCTCCCCAGTTTTCTCTAGTCACAAAATATGTTGGCAAAATTATATTTGATGGGGTAGTCGAAGATCTGGTTGTTGTACTTTCTGAAATTATGATCTGAGCTTTAGTTTCTAGACTAGGGGCATGATAAAAAACACTCAAGTTTTAAGTAAATATTTACCATTATTGTTTTGACCATTCTTCAATAAATAGTAAAATACAACAGACACTCCAATGATAATGCTCATGATAACTAAAATTACTGGCACTATCCATACAGCCCTACGTGATAGAATCTCTTTGATAACATTTTTTGGCTTTTTTAACTCGTCTGTTGTGGAAAGATTAATAGTAGAATTTCTTGGACTTTCATCTAGACCTGCAGAAATTCATAAGATAATACGCTACATAAACTATTCTTATGTAATAACTATTGTATCGGGTAGAAACCCAATGCGGATTATATTCACACAATACCATCAAAAGTTTTATGGATAGACAAAGATTTGCTCAGCATAAGTTTGAAGATATAAGACTTGATGAGTCATAAGTTTGAAAGTATAAGGCTAGCGAGTCAGCTGAGCATTGCTAAGCATATGTTTGAAGGTTTAAAGCTTAACGAACATTCTTTAAAAGTTTTTTTAAAACATTTTTTCATCCAAAGTTTAATTTTAAAAATCACAGTGAACTTTTAATTTGAAAATTCGTAAGAAAGGAAAGTTTTTTGCTTTTTCTGAAGCAACGGCTGTTCCTACCTTGCCCAAAAACAATAAAGCTCTTCTATAGAGCAGTACTGATCAAATGTAAAAAACTAGAAGTCTCTACGATGCCTCGTTATTGAGATATCTTGCTGATTCACTTGCATGCTTGCTTGCTTGCTTGCTTACAGAAAGCGTATTTTTTCAGCAATGCCGCAATCAATTTGAAATTTGTTTTTTGCAAATGATGTAAAATTTCAGGCACAAACTTTTCTTATCGGACCTTTTATAACCAATTTTGCTTCGTTTTCTCACAAAATGCGAAAAACTGATTTTTCAATCTGAACAAAACTAATAGATTCACACGTGAAAACGGTGTGAATATAATTAACATGGTTGTACTTATGGTCTACTAATCTACCATTTTCATGATGATGAATATGATAAACAACATCCCCAACATGAATTCCATCACTGTTTTCAAATTTAACATTTGTAGGACTGCTTGCGAGTACCGTGGACTTTTGTAATTCTTCTTTCTTGGTGTATGCTTCAGTTAAATTTGAATACTGCTGCATAATATCAGCAGCTGCTAAAGAGCTACTTACTGTTGAAAATGAGTCTTTTCGATTCCAAAGTTGACTTTCTTTTGGAACGGTTAATGTTGAAGATCTAAACATTTTTTTTTTTGTTAACCTGAGCTGCTCCCTCCTTAAAAGATACTAATTATGACATATAAAAATATTTCAAAATAGACGGTAATCTAATCGTTCTCGATTTGAGGAAATTAAAAGAGATAAATCTTTATTTATTGTCTTGCCATATCTAAGTGGTCTTAATTTGTACACGCTTTTTATTGAGTTTTTATTATATAAATCCTTTCTAATACTACTGTAATAGTTGTCATTACCACTCATGATCAACAAGAAGTTGTTCTATTTCCATATCTACACCAATCTTTTATAATTTTCATAAAAGCATCTCCTGGTCCTGGTCCACCAAAATCACTACGTCCAAAAATTTTGTAATCTTCAGTCAATTTTCCTAAAGCCATCGCATCATCTAAGACGCTTAAAATTGCATTCAAAATTTTTTCATTTGGTGGAGTGATAGTGAAATTTCCAATTACCCCCGTAGCTATTGTTCTGTCGTTTAATCCTGAATGATGTGCACCAAACACATCCCAACCTCGACCCTCAAATGCAAATCCTAAGCATTGAAAATTTAATGAAATCTTGTTAACAAAATTAGGTTTACTCACCATCACCGCCGAAGAATATATTGTATAAAATGTCATTTAAACCTCGAGTAAAATCATTACTTTGTAAAGATCTAGCTCTACTTTTGCAGGCGGCCTGTAAAAAAAAATTCGTTTAAAATTTCTTTGAACAACTTATTATTTACCAAATTATTGCAAAGTGGTGTTACAGCATGTCCAATAAGAGCCCAAGCTATTGTTCTGTTAAAAGGAGTCAAATCTGATCTTTGACTTTGAGCTTCCCATTCTTCTCTGCGATAAATTTTATATACTAATGAAAGAAAATAATTTTATCATTTAACAGTAAGATTTAGCAATTATGTTTTTGATTTATATTACGTGGACGGAAGTTTGTTAAAGATCTAATAGCGCTGTTTAAAGCATCTGCTTTTGTTGTAAAATATTTTAAATCATCTTGTAGCACTATTATATTATTATTGGCTATAATCTCAAGTTCTACAAAAGTTGAAATGAACTGCTTTAATAGATCAATCATCCCTGAATCGGGTGCAATCAATGTATAATCTCCAATAAATGCTATGCAAATTCCAATGCTGTTATATTCTGTGGCTCCAAAATTTTCTGTGTGCTGTCCTTGAAAGTTGAATCCACGTCCTTCATAAATTCTTCCATCTCCACCAATGAGAAAGTTGTACGCAATATCATCAAGACTTGGATCTTGGGTTTGAATTAATTGAATTCTCTTGACACATTCGGTCTAAATAAGGTCAATTAGTATTGCTGATGTATTTCAGGAATTTTATTTTTTTAGATACCTGATTTGTACAAAATTCTCCACCGGTATGTCCTATGATGATTCTTTTTATTGGCAAATCTAATTTCGATATATTAGTTGATCGTGGAGGCTGTGCTTCCCATTCATCACGTGTGATAGGATTCGGAATCCGTAACACATCGGTTGTGGAACCTCCTGTAATTAATTCTGATGTTGTCTCTTCAAAAGAAGTTGTATCTTCGAAAGTAGCAGTTGTCTCTTCAGAACGATCAGTTGTACTCTCAAAATGTAATGTAGTGCTTAAAAGACAATCAATTGTTCTGTTTCCATATCTACACCAATCTTTTATAATTTTCATAAAAGCATCTCCTGGCCCTGGTCCACCAAAATCACTACGTCCAAAAATTTTGTAATCTTCAGTCAATTTTCCTAAAGCCATCGCATCATCTAAGACGCTTAAAATTGCATTCAAAATTTTTTCATTTGGTGGAGTGATAGTGAAATTTCCAATTACCCCCGTAGCTATTGTTCTGTCGTTTAATCCTGAATGATGTGCACCAAACACATCCCAACCTCGACCCTCAAATGCAAATCCTAAGCATTGAAAATTTAATGAAATCTTGTTAACAAAATTAGGTTTACTCACCATCACCGCCGAAGAATATATTGTATAAAATGTCATTTAAACCTCGAGTAAAATCATTACTTTGTAAAGATCTAGCTCTACTTTTGCAGGCGGCCTGTAAAAAAAAATTCGTTTAAAATTTCTTTGAACAACTTATTATTTACCAAATTATTGCAAAGTGGTGTTACAGCATGTCCAATAAGAGCCCAAGCTATTGTTCTGTTAAAAGGAGTCAAATCTGATCTTTGTCTTTGAGCTTCCCATTCTTCTCGGCGGTAAATCTTATATACTGTAAGAATATTTTGATTTTAA